ATATTTTATTTATTATTATTTTATGTGTATGAGTATATTGCCTACATGTATCCAAGTGTACCTGCATTGTGTAATGCCCACAGAGGTCAGAAGAGGGCATCAGATCCCCTGGAACTGGAGTTATAGACAATTGTTCGCCACCACATGGGTGCTGGGAACCAAACATGGGTTCTCTGTGAGAGCAGCCAGTGCTTTTAATGGCTGAGCCATCTCTCCCACCCCCACAGCTAATTCTAAGTAGATAAATGACCCCTTCTGGGGTGAATAAATAGTTCATGTTGCTTTTATGACTACAAATCCTGACTTCATCTTTGCTGACCCAGCCTGGTCACTGTTGGAGCCCTGCTAAGACCAGAGTATATGATACATAGGGACCTTTGGCACTCCCAAAGTTGTAAAGGAAATTAGTAGTCTAGTATCACCATAGAAGAGTGGCCTGTTTGGAGGTGTACAGAAACCCAACTCTTGCGACCAAGAGTAGAAGAGGCCATAGTCATAAGCCCAGATCTGAGCAGCTTGGGAGTTTGTGGTCTGTCTTCAATACCTGTGACTAGGCATGGCTTTACGGGAATAAAAAACAACCAATGGGGGGCTGGAGAGATGACTCAGTGATTAATAACAAATAACTACTATTGCAGAAGACCCAAGTTTGGTTACCAGCACCCATGTTGGGTGACTCACAACTGCCTAGAACTCCAGCACCAAACCAAAGGATCCAATGCCCTCTTCTGGCCTCTATACTCATGCTCACAAGCACGCATGCGTGTGTGTACATGCACGCGCGCACGCGCGCACACACACACACACACACACACACACACTAAAAAATCTCTTAAAAAAGGAAAAAATAACCAAGAAAATTAATGTCAATAAATTCAGTAGGAAAACTTTCCTAGCCCCCCTGAGAACTCGTAGTGGGCTGTCCATAGAAGCAGAAACTGCTCATTCCTAGATGAACTAAGTTGAGACTTGTGAGTTTGGTATATTGCATTCTTGGCAACAAAGAACAGCCCAGATCGCCTTCTGAGCCTACATTTTCCTTTTGTAGTTGGAAATCATGGTGATTTCCACTCAACTCGCTTACATGAAAGTCAGGAGGCCATCTGACACTTAGGAGGGCTAAATAAATGTGTTCCCCTTCCTGCATCCTCAGTGGCACCTTCTCCCTCACCTCATCATCCTGCTTAGCTCTCACAGCATAGCAGGCAGGGTCCAAAGAGCCAGCATCTTGACCTACAGCCCCTTCCCAACAGGTGCTGGACCGGGCTCGGGTGCGGAAGCCTGTGAATGTACAGATGCTCTTCTCCAACCCCCTGGATGAGCCGGTGAAGGACTGTGTGCTGATGGTAGAGGGTAGCGGCCTGCTACGTGGCAACCTCAAGATCGAGTGAGTCCCAAGTCTAAGCAGACTTGTGGGGATGGCGGGAGTAGGACAGGAGGACCTGCCCAGAGCCCTTGAGCAGGAGCCAGAGCACCCTCTGGCCTTGGAATCTTCATTCTTTGGGGGTCTTGATATTTGCTATGATAAAACACTGACCAAAACCAACTTGGGAAGGAAAGGATTTATTTTACCTTACAGCTTACAGTTCGTTATCAAGGGGAGCCAGGACAGGAGCGCAGGGCAGGAACTTGGAAAACACACCAACTAAAGCTTTCCAGCACAATTGACACATGAACACACTGCTATTAAACCATAGCTTTCCATCTCTTTGCCCAAGATGTGATGTTAATATTACTATCACAACGTAAATCTTTAAAAGTCCCACAGTCCTTAAAAACACTTTAAAGGTTCAAAGTCTCTTTTAAATGTCTTTTAACTGCAGGTGCCTATAAAATCAAAACAAGTTAAATACTATCTTATTTCAAAGGGAAGACTCGAGCACACTTAAGCAAAACCAAAGCCCAGCAAAGTAGCTCAAAGCTGGACATCTGGGGTTCACTCAGGATCTTCTGGGCTCCAAAGGGCTTGGGCAGCTCCACTTCTCTGACTCTGCCATCCACAGCACATGCAGCTTGTCTATGGTCTCAGGCCAGCTCCACTCCATACCTGATGCTGCCCTTGCTGGTTATCCCATGATCCTGGCATCTTCAATATGCTGGGATCTCCATTGCAACAGAGGCTGCACCTTCACCAAGGGCCTCTTCTGGCCTCACGTGATGCCACGCCTCAGATCCTCTCCATGACTCCTTCATGCCTTCAAAACCAGTACCATGTAAGAGACACTTACACATTACCAAGTCCTGCCTCCAGCTTGAGATTAGAGCCTTGGGCTCCCTCTGTGTGCTGACCCTGAGGAAATACTTCCCAGAAGATTTCACTTTGATGATGCCTGTCTCTTGTCACTCACAGCTGATTTTCAGAGCTAACAGCTGGCTAGTCTTCAGAGCTCAGCATAGGAGACCATGAGTCTATCTTTCCCCTCCCCAAGTTTGATGTCACAGAGCTGGAAAGACCAGGTGACCCAGGGAGGCAGCTAGAGGAGCTAAAGACATGGAGGCTCTCTCCAACCCCGCTAGAGCAGGACTTGGCTTATCTAGCCTGAGGCCTTTGCTTTCATATCAACACTAATCTGTTCCCTTCCTCATCAGGGTGCCAGCCCTGCGCCCCAAGGAGAAGTCCAGGATCCGATTTGAGATTCTTCCCACCAGGAGTGGCACCAAGCAACTGCTCGCTGACTTTTCCTGCAACAAATTCCCTGCGATCAAGGCTATGTTGTCCATCGATGTGGCTGAGTGAAGGGCCTAGCAGCCCCCTCACAGACTTGGGGAACACAGACCAGAAAGGGCTCACCTGTGGAGTGAAACTGCTGTCTGTGCTGTCCAGCCCGAGGAGCCCTTTATGTCCCTAAGGTTGCCAGACATAGACTTCTAGCAAGCCCCTCACCCCAACCCCTCACTCAGGCTGGGTCAGGTGCACTCTGGCCTGGAACTTAATCACTTTTGCACATTTCCTGATTGCTTCCCCCAAAGACACCTACCTGTGAGCCCTTGGCTCTGCTCATCCCTCACACCCATCAATGCTGCAGGACAGAGCAGCAGCATCCCTAGAAACTCTCTGAATGCATACTGGGAAGAAGCAAGTCTAGACTATTTGCTGATTCCCAGCCTGCGGTTGGGATAGTCCTGTTCCTCCCTTGGCCTCCATGGAAGGCAGGGAGTAGTCACATGCCATGCATTCATACCTTTACAATCAAAATAAATATCCAACAGGTGCAGTCACACAGCACTGTTCCCACCAGGCTGCTGACTTTCCTCAGGTGACAGAGGAGGGAAAGGAGCTGGGCCAGGTACTCTAAAGAAGGACTAGACTTCGGGAGGGCTTGTCCACTGGTTTCAATGTCCATAGGAAGTGGGCTTGTTTTTTGTGGCTTTGAGAGCAAAGCTACGGAGCCCTTACAAGTCAGTTTAGGGAAATCTTCTAATCTGATGTCCAAAAATAAATGAGGCTGCCTTGGAAGGGAGCTCCTTGCCATGGTAGGCGCCACACGTTCTCCGTGTGCTGGGAAAGCTCTTTGGGAGCCTTTCCACAATGTGTCAGAAAGAGAAGGGACTTCAAAGCCTTTGCTGGAACTCTCTGGCAAAGCAGGCTCTGCTTACACTATATTCTTCCTGGCTGTGTTGGTCCATTTTCTGTTCCTCTAACAAAATGCCTGAGGCTGGATAATATCCAAGGAAAAGGGTTATTTAGCTTACAATACAGGAGGCTGAAAGTCCAAATAGCATGATAGTAGCTTTGATAGAGGATTCATGGCAGATGGCAGAAGTATATGCAAGAAGAAAAAGTCACATGGCAAGAAAAGAAGTCAGAGAGTGGGACAAACCAGTTCCACTGTATTAGAACCCTCATGAGAATTAACTCAAGGTCCCACGAGAACTGGCTTATCCCTCCTGAGACCAGTACCCCAATGACTTCCAGTAGCCCTTCCCCAAAGAGCCCCATACTGAGGACCAAGCTTTCAATTCATGTGCCTCTGTGGTGAATACTCAAACCACATCCAAACCGTAGCACCTCGCCATGCTATGGAACTCTTCTTGAAGTCAGGAGAGAATGTACATGTCAGCCAGCCACAGTAGCGTTAACTCAACCAGAACATTCTCTGCCTTATACAAGCTCCAATAATTTCTCAATATTTGCCCCTTAAAATGGCCCTAAGTGATTAATCATGGTGGCATACACTTCACAGTCCCAGCTCTTGGGAACCTGAGACAGGAGGATCACGAGTTCAAGACCAGCCTGGACTACATAGTGAGACTCTATCTCAAACAACAAGAAATAACCCAACACATACCCCCATGTGGTTCCTGTCATGTGTGCTGGTTAATCCCAAGATGGCCATTCATTTCACTTTTCAAATTTTCAGGACCAGTCCATTATACACAGAAACCTCCACTTTACCCCCAGTTCAAAGCCTCCCCCATACTCAGCTCAGGCCTCCCCCAGGCTTACAGAGGAGACGTTGTCATCCTCTCCTTCCTGTTGCTGGATTCTGCAGAGCTACCGCAGGAGGCGGTCACAGGAAAAATGACAGAAGTCTACTTTCACTTGCACCGTTGCCAGCCGACACCAGTGCCATTTGTGAACTGAAATTTAATTAAGAACAGCCTTTGTCTCTAACTGCCCTGAAAGAGCTCAGTGGCACTTTCATGGTGGCCGGAGCCCAGTTCCCGTGCCTAGGTACAGTGGTCCATGGGCAGTGAACAAGCATGAACAAGCAGGCTGCCTTCAGCTGGCCTTTCCTCTTCCTGCATGTCAAGCTGCTCCCACATCCCACTTCCCTTGGGGGAATCCAGCACCAGAATCTGTATCCACACTTGCTCCCCATGTCAAACTGCCCTCAACTCCCACCTGGCCTTAAGACTGTGCTGCAGAGCAGGTCCCCAGATGTGGAGAAGAAATGTTTATCTTCCTTTGCAAATTTCACAAATCTTACTCAGTGGACTCTTGGGGTGTGCCCTTTACCTTGGGTGTGGGGTGTTCATTCTACCTCACAGACTGACTCAGCCACCAATGAGGTAGGTGACATAGACTTCAGCTTCAGTCCTAGCTTCTGATAGAAAGAAAAAAATGGAAAAAAAATGGAAATTCAAAGATTTCCATTTCCTCCCACGTGTGGAAGGCTCACCCCAAACTAATTCTCAAGTACCAGCTCATCTGCTTTTACCAAGTACCTACTTGAAGGCAGCCCCTGTGTTGTGTATGGCATTCAGAAATGTCAAAAACAGCACCAGCATGATTGCTGCCCTTGGCTTTCCACCCTCAAGGAGACTTGTAAAATGTGACATTAAAAATCCATGTAAAGTTTCTAACCAACCCAGGCACAGGGCCCTTGTGAGAGATGTAGCTAAGAGACTTCCCATCCCACTTGGGTTCTGAACAACTTTAGCAATAAACCAAGAATAGCGTATAGAGGTGACAACACTAGATTTATTTCTGAAAGAACTGAAGTCAGAAGTGGAACTGTCCTCATTTGCTTTCTATTCCTGTGAGAAAACAGTAGCCAAAAGTAACTTGGGGAGGAAAGGGTTTATTTCAGTTACATCTCCCAGTCCATCACTGAGGGACTCCAGGGCAGGAATGCATGGCAGAACCGTTGAACTGAAGCACAGACCACACAGGAATGCTGTTTACTGGCTTGCTTCCTCTGGCTTGCTCAATTACCCTTCTATAGCCCAGGCCTACCTGCCTAGTGATGGCATCACTGACAGTGGACTCGGCCCTCTTACATTAATCAGCAATCCAGAAAATGTCCCACCGGTCAGGTCGATGGAGGAAATTCTTCAGCTGAGATTCCTTCTACCCAGGTGACTCTAGTTTGTGTCAAATTGACAAAGACTAAACTAGCATGAGATGCAAATGACTGCCTGCTGGATCCCAGAATTAGGTTGCTTTTCCATGTTGGTTAGTGTATTGGTTGGCTGTTATATCAGGAAGATCCAAAATACCAGAATCCTAACTAAACAAGACAGACATTTATTTCTCTCTGCTACATAAATGTTCAAGAATTCAGGTTCTTTTTAGCTTATACTCTTCCTTGGGTGGTTTCTATCTGGGTGCCAAACAGCTTAAAGCATAATGCTGACAGTCCGTTCAATAGAAAGGAACACAGGGAACAGATGAGCATCCTCTTTCCCAACAAGAAAACAATCTGGGACTGGAGAAATGGCTCAACAGATTAGAGCATTAGTTGCTCTCGCAGAGGACCGGGGTTCGATTCCCAGCACCCATATGGCAGCTAACAATCATCTATAACTCCAGTTCCAGGGCATCTGATGCCCTCTTCTCACTTCCGTGGGCATTGCACAGCGTGGATGCACTTACATACAGGTAGGCAATACACTCATACACACAAAATAAAGTAATAAATAAAATGTTTTAAAAGAAAACGATCTGGTTGATGGGCGTGGTGGCACATACCTTTAATCCCAGCACTCAGATCTCAGTTAACATTATACATTTTACATTTGCTCACATCCCATTGGCTAGAATTTAGTTATATGTCATAGCTAGCTGCCAGGTGGGTTCCCACTGGGCTACTAGATAGAGTTTCTGTTACTAGAGCAAAAAGGGTAACCTGTAGCCTCTCTGACTGTACCTAGCAACACATGGGCAATGCTGAACAAGGGCACGCAAGAACCCTAGAGAAGCCAAGAGAGCCAAACAAAAATTGAAGCCTTTATATCTAGTATTTGTTTCCATCAGATACCCCCCCCCAATCTGTTTGGAGCAGAAAGGAGCTTTGGATGTGCCAAGGGTAATTGTTCCTTCTAAAGAAGCGGGCTCTTCGCAGAACAGATCCCTGATTCCTTAATCCTCTCTCCTCCTTCCAAATTCAGGCTTGCCTACAGATGCCCCATGGAGTTTAGCCATGCTTTTCGGAAATTATCCTTACTGCAAAGATCTCTAACCTTTGAAACTAGATTTTTTGGAGCCAAACAGAAATTACCTGGATCTCAGCTGTTGAAGAAGCAAAATGAGAACCTGTTGAGGAGCAAAAAGTATCATTGAGGCTGTTGGGAATCTCAAGGCGGGGTTAGAAGTGCAAGAATATTATTACAGATAAGGTTAGTGAAAAGGAACATGGGGCGGTTGCCAAGAATGGCCCTGAAAGACAGTGATGCAGATCTGGTATGTGTGAAAGGAGAAGCAGAAGGACATGTGGTTGGGGAGATGGAGGCATGCCATAGCTCTGAGAAAACCTCAGCTAGCCCCACTGGAAACTGAAGTGCAAAGACTTGCCGTAGAAAAGTTTCCACAGGGCAGAATTGACTGTGGTTGCTCACGGTTAGGGTTGTTCTAGAAAACCACAGCCTCTGCTCAAAAGCTGAGGCAGGGCCTGGAAGCACTGCAGATGCCCGTCGTCGGGGCCCTGCATTCTGATCAGCAAGACCTTATTGAGGGAAATGTGGAGCAGCCCACCCCGGTGTCTGACACACGGATACTGAAGACAGTTCTGACCCATTTGTGAACTCTTCTAAGGCAGACCAGACCTGCTTTACTCTGCCTGTTTTATCTAGTTGAAGGGTACATAGAGGGTGTGATACATTAGGAAGGTGTGTTTCAGTGAACACTGTGTCCATGACACCTTTGAAAGAACCCTGTGATTAATGAGGACTCTTTGGATACTTATTTTAGTTGTCAGTCTTACTGAATCCCATCCTTAATATTTGAGGAGATGATGCAACTCAACATCCAGTTACTCACTGCCCTCTTGGGAACAGAAAAAGAATGACTCAGAGCTCTGACATTGATAGGACATTGAATTTGCCAATTCTAAATCTACCAATCTCCAGATTCATTTTTAAGCAAGATAATACATATTCTTATTGTTTAGAGTACCTTTAGTTGAACACACTATATTATATTTAAGCTTCCTAACCAATTTACCCCTACTGACATTCTTGAACAGCTCCCACATGCCAGGTATTGTTCTAGGAGCCAGGTGGATAGAGATGAAGGAACCATAGTCCCTGCCACCAGCGAACACATCCTTTAGAGATGGTGCAGACCCCACACTACTGTTCTTTCTGTCTCCATTCAAATTCTGGCTCTCCTTCCCAGCTTGATGAGTTTCACCATAATATTTAACCTTTCATTGCCTAGTTTTCCTGTTTTAGTTGACAAACAAGTAAGAATAGAACCTAGCTTATGAAATTTTAAAATCCCTTTGTCTATTGTAGAGCCTCAGCAAATATCATGTGTGGAAGACAATTTGC